ATGTGAAAGAATTTGTAAATATTGTAATGCAAAGGCTGTGGAAGACGAAATACACTTTATCTCAAATTGTTCCTTTCATAGCAACGCTCGAAATGAGTTAACTATTCAAACTTCTACAATTTATCCCAATTTTACTAAACTTACAGACCAAGAAAAAACTATTCTTCTTTTAACTTCCCAAAACCCACTAATTTTAGAAAAGGTGGGACATTACGTCTTCCATAGTCTAAAAAAGAGAAGTCAAACCCCTTAGACATAGTTTTAGACATAGCTATAGCTCTAGACAACTACCTTTCATCATGTAGATTTTAGTTATTTTATACTACGTTTCATTGTTCTTTTATGTTTGTCTGCAATTAGCCCCCCGGGCATGAATTTGCAATAAACTTCTCAATTATAATGTATTCGCCCAAATCTCCCACAGTCCCCTTCAAAATCTTGCATTTTCGCCAGAATCGGCGAAACTGGACTACACAGCCAAATTACATGGATTAAAATCACGTCAATCGCGGCACCGCAAAACGATACCGATCAAAAATGTAGGGAAGGCTTGTCTGAAGATTTTGAAAATTAATTTTCGCCGTTCAACGCACCCTTCCCAGAGGTGTGCGTGCGTGCGTCGGCAAAGGTCCCGTGGGTCCCGCTGGTCCCGCCTCGCAACTCGCTCGAACTTCTCGGCGTGGATGTCGGATGTCGACGGATTAATTTGGTATTTTTCTTAAACCAAGGACTATTTTAACATTTATATCTATGTCCCTCCAAAGTTAATTGAAAACAACACGTAAGTTGGCAATATTGTTTCCCTGTTTGTAATAAAATTGACGCGGAAGAAGTTCGTGGACGAAAGGTAGGCTAGATAGAGGATTATTTCGATTACACTGACTGACCATAACGTTACCGACTTTAAATTTATAGCTCGATGTACCAGCGAAATTTGTGCTGCCAAATTTGCCCCTCAACATGCAAAACATGGGTTGAAATTCAAAATTTTTCCGGGGGGGACATGCCCCCCCCCCAAAAAAGCCGGGCCTACTCGGGCTTTAGTGGCGCCTTGGGCGCTTCATGCGGGGTAAATTTTCAATCAAAATCTCGTCCTCCCCATACGAAATTTCACTCTCTATGATTCACGCCGGGGGGAGGGCCTAGGAAAATTTTTTTGAGCCGGGGGGAGGGCCTAGGAAAATTTTTTTGACCTGGGGGGAGGGCCTAGGAAAAAATTTTTACGCTACCCCGGACGACCGGCCCCCCTCCCCGGTAAATATCGTACAGTCCCTTATCCATGGGTTTATGCAC